AATATTTAAGTAATTTAATTTTATCAAGTTTAAAAAATATTTATTAATCATTATTTATTTCATGCTAATTTAGTTCACGAGAATATTAAATAAGGTAGCTACCTACATAGTTATACTAAAACCAGGACCGATAAATTATATTCAAAGTTCTTCAAGTCGATTTAGTCAATATTATTATTTTTTAATTGAAATATTTGAATATGCAACTACAAAATTTTAGATTTAGAACTGTAATTTGGGGTTATGATTTTTCAGGATTATAATCTTTCAGGATTATGATCTTTCGAGATTATAATCTTTCGGGATTATGATCTTTTGGGATTATAATTTCGGGATTATAATTTCAGAATTATAAATTTTCGGGATTATAAATTTTTAGAATTTTTTTTCTTCAGGATTTAGTTTTTGGGATATTACCCCTTCGGAATTTTGTTCTTTCAGGATTTGGTACATCGGGATTTAGTACCATCAGGATTTCGATGTTCGGGATATTGACCCAAAATCAACCGAAGGCTACCAAAAATTAGCAGTGGAAGTAAGTGAATTAACCGACCAATTGGCTCCTTATAAAACAGTAAAAGAAAAATTAAATAGCTTAACCGGGGTGGAAGAAATTGCGGCTTTTAAAAATAATCTGTTAGCAGTTAGGGGGCATCCATAAATAATGTTATGTTTGAGGAGGGGGTCCCCCAAAATATAACGATTTTTCAATATTTAGAGGGGGTTCCCTAAAATATAATGTAATTTTTTTATAAAAATTAGTCTAAAATTTGATCCAGTAGTTCAAATTGGATGATTTTGGTACCATTCGACTCCTCTCCTTGAGAGGATTCGAATGGTACCAAAATCACTTGATTTGGATCACTGAATCATGTTTTATTAACGAAATACTATTGGTTATTATGTTTTCTTATAAAATTACTACAAAATCAATAGTATTTCGTAGACCTGTGGGTCAATAGCATAGTGGTTATGCTCCCAGGTTGCAAATCGGATAGTTGCTAGTTCAATTCCTCCTAGTGGTGAAATAATGAAATCCCAAATATGAAAGTGAAACACCGCGAGGTACAGAAAACTCAGGACATCTACGGATAGATATATTCGGGAATAGTTATTCTGAGAAGTTGTGGCTGTGAAGCGAGGCGTGTTAGAACCCTGATTTGGAATAACCAAAGTCATGAGATGTACTGTAAGGCCGAAGTCTGAGAAGATACTACAAGAACTCATAGTGCCACTGGATTGGCCGATGAAATCCTAGCTCAATATTAAGGTGTTTCAACCTCTTCGAAGTGTCGTGTAGGTGGTCAGATCTAGGCCCAATGAGGGAACTGGAGAAATGGCGGGCAATGGATCTCAGGTGGATACATATAATACCCATATGGGGATTATGGAGGTTCTGTGACACTAGTAGCGTAGGGTCAACTATTAATATAGCTGGACCAAGACTTGCCGAAGTAATAAAAAAAAAAAAAAAAAAATAGTATTTCGTTAATAAAACATTATCCAGTAGTCCAAATCAAATAATTTTGGTACCATTGGATTTGTCTTATAGAGACGAATCGAATGGTATTAAAATCATCCTAATTGGATCACTGGGTCATAATATATCCAAAGTTTTTGTAAAATTTTATATATAAACATATGGATTTTTAAAAATTTTTTATATAGTCTAGGGGGGAGGTCAAGAGCTACTATGTAGAGGTACATAATGTTATATATAGATGCCCTCTTATTGACCAAAAAAAGAAAAAAAAATTAAACAATATTGCTAATACAACCATTGAGGACATTAAAAAAGAAATTGATAAAAGCCAAGATATTGAATTAGGGGCAAATGAGAATTTTGAAAATATAATTAAAAGTCTGGTTGATCTATATGGGATTGAAAAACTGAAAGATAAAATTGTAGAACCAATTAAAGAACAAAAATTAGCTCATGGGTTGGAGCAAACTGGTGATTCCTCCGGCAAGCAGCCTGACTTGTCTACTTGACCTAACAATTTATTTCTTTTTAGCTATTGGTTTGTTTTCTTCGATAATTTATATACTCTTTTTACAATCATTCTTTATACTATTCATTTCAAATTTTCTTTCTGAATATTCATTGGCTATATATAATTTGGTGAAATAGATAAGACGCTAACTTGTCTATCGATAGAGATTCATATTTTCGTATCCTTCTTGAAATATTCAATAAGTTGGCTATTATTGTAAACATTATTAATTAAATCTTCATTACTATATTGGTATTAAATAAATTCTGAATTGGTATCAATTAAAATTTAAAATACCAATCTAATTTTAATACCACTTTTAGACGATTGAACATTGCCTATTTCACATTTGGCTATTATAACTTCAACTTGTAACGCTTAAGTAATGAAAGTTTTTAGCAAAGTGACATAGATAGATTTGATATATTCTATTTTTTTTGGTTTGTTAAGTCCTGATTTGATAGTTTCTTGTATGTAATTAATGAAATAAAGCTTACAATATAAAATACATATAACAAATATTGCATCGCTTTTATTTTTTTATTTGTGCAAGATAAAATAAGGCTTATAGAACAGGATTTGGAAATAAAGTCAGTTATCCTTTAAGCCTCATTGTATAATGAAATTACATATTTATTTAGATTTGGCTTTTTTATAGTCACAAAATTTAGATAAATCAAAATTGAAGATAAGTAAAGCCATATATACCAGATACAAATATTTTGCAATGGCTTTTTCAAACATTATAGCCACAAAAAATAATCTTGGCGAATAGTAAAAAAAATTAAGACCCTTTCGCTATAAACTTTGATGATCAATAATTATTTAAAAAAAGGAAAGTCAACAAAATTTAGAAGGTAAAAATAGAAAACACATATGAAAACGCTTATAATAATAGAAAAAATAAATACTTTATGCTATAAGTAATTACTTTTTTAAAAGATTTATTTTGTAGTGCTAGAGCATTTTTAACCAATTAAAATTTAAGATCAAGTGTAGCATGCAGATTAGCTTTGTGTAACAAAAATAAAGAAATTTTTAAAAAACAATTATATTTCAAAATTTTGTCTAAACAACTATCCTTTGAGCTTTAACAAAAAAAATTCTTTGCTAAATTTTACTATAAAAACTATTTAACTCTAACCTTTAACCCTTACCTTTACCCTAATATTAAAAAAAGTTAATTTTTGTTTTGATAAAAGTTGTTTTGATTTACATGTTATACCAGTTTGTTTATTACATATAGGGTAGTATTGCAGTGCTATAGTGCTATAGTAATATTCCTCTTTTTTAAAATCTAAATATATGTACAAGTCAATAAACATCATCATTAAATATAAATAAAAAGCCTTATTAATAATTTATCAACAGGTTAAATATCTAAAATTATAAAGATGATTTTATTATTTTTATTGATAACTTTATTAAAAAAAATTTTTAATAATTTTTTAGCGAAAAAAGTAAGAATTCACTATTATTATAAGGCTTTAACAATCCAGGTCTTTTTTTTTAGCAGGAGTACCAAGGTGATTGATAACTTTATCAAAAGCAAATTTTTAGTAATTTTTTAGCAAGAGAAGTAGAAATTCACTATTATTATAAGGTTTTAGCAATCTAGAATCTTTTTTTAGTAAGAGCACCAAGTTTTTTTTAGTGGTAGCACTAGAGTTTTGTCATTTTGAATTTGTTTTTCGTCAGAGGTTTTGTCATTTTGGGCTTAGCCTAAAAGTTATTTAATTAATCAGTTTATATTTAGCATTAGATAATACTTTGCTTTTGGTATATACAAAGATTTATATTAATTTATATTTTAAATTGGGTATTTAAATTGTCTATATTAATTGAATTGATTTTTTGATTAAACGATTCAAAAAATATATATCTAAACTTTTGTAGCATTATATTTTTTTTTTAAAAAAAATGAGTAAATCTTATTCTAATGAAAATCTTCAAGATTATATCTCTCAAGATGAAAATTCTCAAGATGAAAATTTTCAAGCTAGAAATTCTTAAGCCGAAAATTCTCAAGTTGAAATTTCTTAGGCTGAAAATTCTCAAGCCAAGAATTTACAAGAATCGGTTCAAAAAAAAACTTCTGGGTGGCCACTTGCAGGAGTTTGGAATTTTTTTAACAAAGGTTCTTCTATAAAAGGCTATTGTTTAGGAACATGTAAAGAATGTGGATCATTTTGGGCACATGCTAAATCTGTGGATTTAGAAGAGCATTTAGCTCTAGATTGTCCTACTCAAAATAAGGATGTTATAGATTTTTATACTCAAATTATTGCTAATCAACAAAGTCATAGCCAAGCAGCATCTCAGAAAAATATACTTGGTGCTGAACCAAATAAAAAAAAACATAAACTAACAAGTAATCAAGCAACATTATCTGAGTTTTTAGAAAGCACTAAACTAACTCCACAACGTGAATGTAATATTAATACAGCTTTAATCAAAGCATTTATTGTATATAATATACCTTTTTATATTATCAGCAATCCATATTTTGTTGATATATTGCGAGAATTATGGCCTGGATATCAACTATCATCAAGACAATTACTTGCAGGTCGATTATTAAATGCTGAAATCATTAAAGTTAATCAAAGTATTAAAAATACTTTAGAAAAAGCAAGCAACTTAACTTTTGGTATAATTTATATATTATTTAATTTATAAATTTATTATATAACTATTTATATAATTTATATTATTATTTTTAAAATAGGTTTAGATAGATGGACAGATCCATGTGGAAAATCATTATGGAACTTTGTAATTCATACATCTTCAGGACAAGAATATCTTTGGAAATTAGTTGATTTATCTAACCAAAGCCATACAGGTGAAATATTACAAGATTGTATTCAGCAAATATTTGATAAACTTGGAGTACATAAATCTGGAGCTATAGTAACTGATAGTGGTTCAAATAGTACAGTTGCACGATGATTAATTTTTGAACAATACTCACATATTTTAAATTTGTGATGTGTTATACACTGTATAAATCTAATTTCTAATGATATTTTAAAGCATCAATTTGCTAAAAAAATTCTTTATTAATGCTCTATAATTGTTAACTTTTTTAATTTATCATACCAGTTACATTTTTTAATTATAAATAAAAATGTATATGGTGGTAGATTAAAAAAATATACAAAAACTCGCTGGACTAGTGCATATGAATGTGTATATTCAGTATATCATCATAAAATATCTTTAGAAAAGGTAAATATATTTTAATAATATAATTTTTAATATTTTAATAACTCTAATACAGTAAATATATTAAAGATTTTAGATCAAAATACACATTTATTTAATAATAAAACTGGAAAAATTGTAAAAACATATATAAAATCTCATGGATTTTTTAATAATATCTTAGATCTTTCTAATACAGTACACTCTCTCAAATCTGATACACATGGTGGACAGCTTTTGTATCAGTTTTAAGAGGTTATCGGATTTAAAAATTGATTTAAAATACCAATGGCCCACTGTCACATGATCACAAACACAAATAAATATAATTGGCTAGATTATATTTCTTATATATCGATATATAATCTGTTGCACAAACCCCGATCTTAGCCAATCAAATCGATTTATATTACCTGTCAAACCCGATATCTTATAGATATTTGGTCTTTTAGATATCGGTTATCAGAAATAGCAGGTTATCGGGTTTTAATTATGAAACAGGCACAGTGGATCAATTTTTTATTGGTTATAGCAGGTTATCAGTTTTGACAGGATTGGTTTTGGGAGGGTGTACTGTATTTTAAAACCAATTAGTGATACTATTATGTGTCTTAAAAGCAAAATGGCTAATTTGGCTGATTGTTATTTAGGTTATATTAAATTAGCTATTGCTATCAAAAATATTTTTCAAGATCATCATTTGATGTTTTACTGAAAATGTGTTTCAATTTTTAATGAAAGATTTCATGCATTTGACTATGATGAATATCTATTAGTATATTATTTACATCCTAAATATCGAGGTTAGTTTTAATAATTATTATTATTATTATTATAATTAAGAACTCTTTCCAACGATCACTTGGACCAAAAGGAGAAATAAGAAGTTTGTTGGAGAGCTGTATAAACTATTAGAACGGTTTGTAGAAAGGTCAACTGGCTCTAGAGACTCCTTTCTACGTTCGACATGCAAGCCA